AATTCTCAGCTGCTTCCGATCTGGTTTTTTGTTCGTTTGTTTGCATTTGATGTCTTGATAAACTTTGTTGTGCTGTTTGCATGTCATAGCCGAATTAATTGCGCCACTCTTCGGTATATTCTCATCGTTTCGGGGACAAAGTGTGTCATGTAGGCTATGAGTCTGGACAAGCGATTTGATCATTGATCACATTTTTCCTTGTGACTAGATTTTCAATCAAACGTGCCGGGCATCGCATGCATACATTATTACGTTAACTAATGGTCCGTGCGTTTCGCTACGACAGTTAAAGGATTTTATAACTGACAAATGCGCTCTTTGTATCTACCTTATTCTGTAGCTACCCATGTTATCTTCAAAAGCAGGCACCCATTCACACAGCATATCCACCTCCATTTGCCGCTTTCAAGGAATTCGCTCAACTAAGCCAACTCGCCTTGGTATGTAATTGCTAGAAAAGGCAGAGGCGGTGGTCGTTGATGCACCGACGACACATTGGCGCGCTGAAGCTGAACTGAAGGGTAGCTGAGCTGACGTGTGCTCTGAGCTGCTGAGTGTGGTGCGGATCGCTGCACAACGTATAGTGAAGCCGACGCGCGACCGCTGCCCGAGCCGGGTCAGGTCAAAGTACCGAAAACGCGTTGGCAGTTGGAGATTTAACGAAAAAAGCTGACGTAATCGCATGAGCTGAGCTAACCTGATGTCGATGTGATTAGGTCCTATGTCGGTGTTGTAATGTGATTATGTTGGTAGTGTCCTTATGTCAATTGTCAGTTGACACCGTCTTCATCGCTGTGTGATGCTTTTTTACTTATTTGAAATAGTTGCAGTGGTGTTGCAGGCAATCCCTAATTTCTCAACGAATTATGTAGGAATTGTTGTTCAGCTGACAAGCGGCGGATACCATTTCATGCGTTGAGTCGATTAATACCATTCGGGCTGCTGTGTGAGCCACAGTTCTGACATGAAGTAGAGATGGGGTTGACGGCTGAAAAATGGGTGTTGAAATTGCCCACACTGAGTCGATGGGTATCATTTGCAGAATTGTAAAATTTTTGGTCTGGCTGTGCACGGAATTGCTGTCATATGAGTGGTAGTTTACCGGCCATGCACGCGGCAACGTGCCTACAGTTGAGGGTTGATGTCGTTGGCATTAGAAAAGTCTAATGAAATCCATGTGTCGTAAGAGCGTCGATTTGTGGAAACGGTTTGGATATCAGGTCCGAGGGCCTGACAGCCTTTCTGCTACAGTTTGAACATTGAGCAGGGCATTAGTCGTGACCAGCAAAGAGTGCCTTAAGACTGCAATATGCGTGTGATGCTGGAACGTACCTTAGTTCTATAATTTTCCGGATCAGTATATTGGCTTTTAACAATGGTGGGGGGACCCCAAAGCAGCCTGTGGCGGGAGAGAGAGGGACAGAACCGAAATATCGACAACCTATGCAAATCGACACCCCTGATGCGCTGAGATGCTAGGTGTCGCCTGCATTTCTGCACGGCCCATAACTTTGCTGATATACAAACGATGCATGAATCGCAGTAAAACGTAAGTATAACGACGTTTACTTCTGTGTTAGATATGCTTTCTTTAGGAAGTGCTATGAAGGCGGCCATGGAAACTGGCTATTTTATTTGATCGGTTTCTCTTTCTGAAAATTGGATGACCAGTTTGTAAGTCACGTCTGCATCGGCCGCTGCAGGGCATGCTGTCCAACTTGTTCCCACTGCGTCCCATTATGTTCCCATTAGATGTCATTCGTGCTGATCTCGCCGGGTGCCGATCAGCGCGCAGGGCGGTCGGCGTTCTCTCGGTGGGCAATCCTTGCTTCACACTATGCCCTGGATGCCACCACGCCAAGCGCGCTCTGAAGGCTTGTATAGGTCACGGATGTCTCGATGGAGCCGAGTTGTTGTCACGATGGCCAGACGGCGCTGCCGCGGCGCGAGCAGCCCCGTGGCAGGTGATATTCACAGGACAGCTGTCTGCCGCCGCTGATCGCCGGCCGTGGCGGATGCCCCGTCCACTCCATCCTTCCGCCGCTGTGGACAGCCCCGCGCCGCTTCAGAGCACGTGTCGGACTGCTTGGACTGTCCCTGATCGTTACGTGGCAGGCTGTTAAGAGCGTCCCAGATTGCCACGTGTCAGAGTGCTTGGAGTGTCGCCACGTGTTCGCACGTGGTCGGGCCTGGTTCTGGTTACCGCTTGTGACGCGCGGCGGTAAGCCGGCCGGCTGGCGGGCTGGCGGCGCTCGTGATGGCGCCCCCCTCCCGGTGATGACGCTGCCCTCCGTGTGGCAGGTGGGCCAGCGGCTGTACCCGGCGACGGTGGCCGGCGGCGGCGCCTTCCTGCCGCGCCAGCAGCCCGTCTCTCAGCTGGCGCTGGTGCGCTACGGCGCGCTGGAGCCGGGCCCAGCGCTGGTGCGGCCAGCAGTGCCCGGCCCGCCGCCGCGCCGACACCAGCCGCGCAAGGTCTCGGTGAGTACCGCTCACGGCACGTCATGGCTCATGGCACGTCGGCCGCGGGTCAGGTGCGGCTCGTGGCGCACCGTGGTCTCACTGCACATCTCCTGTAAAGTCCTGACAACTTCTGTGGAACATAAGTGCATTCATTTATGAACCGATTTTTTTAACACATGTGTACATGCATAGCGACGTAGTCTGAGTGGAGGCGTAAGATTAGCTACGACCAATTACAGATTCGGATTCATGGTGGGTTACTTGAGTGACAGAACCCCATATGATCCGATTTGGGCCGCTTCTGGGCCAAATCGTACGTAATAATCCTATGTAATCCACCGTAATTACGCAGTTCATTGGGACTTAGGGGGCCCTCGTGAAAGGTCCAGAGATTGCGAGTGTTCCTGTTGTTAGGCCCAACATATTGCAAGCAGGGCCTCTTTGGGCGTCAGAGAGGGTCTCTTTTGAAGATAAGAACTTCCTAAGAAGCCCAGACTTTGCCCGCTTTCTTCCCAAAGCGGGGGTGGGGGCTGAAGCCTCCCCTGACTTAATAGGAAACAACACCCCTGCTTGGAAGCTAATATCACAGCAGCAAATGTAATACAGGGACGGTTGAAACGGTGCTGCACCCATATTGTTATAAAAAGATAGTTATTATGACAATGACTTAGAAACAACAAACTCTTATAACGATAATAATTTTCAAAAAGAAGATATCTGCCAGCACATCCGAGGCTGGAACATCCCAAGAGATTCTATCTGAAAGAACATCTGAGTCTGGAATATCCACAACGAATGTATGGGAGCAATATCACAGTTTTTCATATGCAACGCCGACCTTAATCTCTCTAAATGTGCTGAAAGTCGACAGTCAACAGGATGGTGCCTAGGGCTACATAATGGCGCCGTGACACGCATGGAGTAAATAACCACTCTGGCGCTCATATTTGACTTAACGCGTTTCTGGAAATGGAAAACACCAAGTTCTGACACATTTTGACAATTGAAAGGCTAATCTGCACTGTACGAACATGCTGTCAGCATCCACTTTTTCATCCCTGAAGCTTCATGGGTGCCCGTGCGCTGTTTTAGGTGCTTTCATTTACTCCAACAAAATGCTCTCGGACGTTTTCCTTATACGGCACCGGATGTATCTCTCTGAAGGCGCTGTTAGTGAGTGGACAACCAGCACAACATAGTATAATAACATAGCAGCCTGGCATAGAACCATGACCCACGTCAATGGCGCTGTACAAGGGCGAGAAAAACGCGCTGTCATGACGTCCAGACTAGGCGTGGTTGTTTGCTCTAATGGAAAATATCAATTTCTGGCCTATTCTCACCACAAAAGGAATTGTACTGCCCTGGACTGATATGCTGTTAATCTCCTCTTTCACCTATCGAAGGATTCGGGGTTGCATGCTCGGTTTTTTGTACCGAAATCTTAAACTAAAGGTGATTTGTGAGAGCAAGGGGGGGGGGGGTAAGTTAACACAGCCTTCGCCGGAAGGCATTTTTTCTCACATAGCATCAGTGCACTTGAGCGCCAAAAAGTCCACTACCGGCACCCGGCTGGATTCGGCAAATGAAATCTAAGCTGTAAAGTTGTATAATATTTAGCTCATTTCGCATCTTTGACTCACGCAAGTTTCGCTACTTGCAGTGAAACTTGGGTCACGTCACCTACGCCAGCGTTTTGTTCTCAGGTCACACACACCACGCATTTTCATGAGTCCGTTGCGCGTCGGGCTTCGTTGACGCAAAACTGCGGCGCGACATCCGGACACCGTGCAGCAGCGCATCGAAAACCTGACGGGAACTGCGGAAATTTCCGTTTTAAGGGTGTCATCACAGAATTAAGATGTCGGATGGTGGAGATGGGCGTTGAACGGTAGACGAATGTGTGCGGAGTTTATCCCTTCACCGAAGAGGGATGGGTGAAATTCTGAACTTATTGCCATGACGCGTCATATTCGTACTGCAACCGTAACGTCAAATTTCAAGATCATTGGGGAGGTGGAAGACTCCTCGACAGTCTCCCCTGCTGACAATGCCACCCTTGCGTGTCGTGGGCCCCATACTTCTCACATTTCAGTGCCACCCTGCAATGTCGGACAGACGCACGCCGGCCTAGTGTCCCTGAATCATGTCTGCATCTGGGCGAGCCCTGCGGTGCCCCCCAAACCGGCTCAAATGGAGATTCCAGCTTGGAATCTGTGAATTTGGGAAGCTCCGCGTTCCGAACTTGATCGGGTTGATGGCGTCCCAGAGTGGGAGAAAACACGCCCTTCACGCAGGGGAGATGAGCACATTTGGGTGGGGGGGGGGGGGACGGGGAGGCGCCGGGGTCCCGCGCGGACCGCGCCCCCCGCCGCCCGTCGAACGAGCACTGTCGCGCCGGCCCAGGCGCCGTCCGGCCGTGCTCGCCGCCCGGCCGCGTCAGCCGTTCGGTCATCACGTGACAGAGCGACGGTGGCGCCGCGCGCGGCCGAGTGGCGAAGCGCCGGACCGGCGCCGCCGCCCGTGCTCGGTCGGTTCGCAGAGCCGGAGGGAGATGCCGGGGGAGGTCCGCTCGCTGCGCGGAGGTGCTCGAGTGTCGCCCGTGCTCGTGTACCGGCCCGGCCACGCCAAGAGTATGGTGCGCGCCAGCAACTACGCCGGCGGCTACTTGGTGCGGGTGAGTGTGCCGCCGGCGGTCGGACCGGGACCTGATCAGCTGATCGCTCGGCACCGGCGGCCTTGGCCACCGCCCTGCTGCGGTGCCCCTGTGTGTTGCCGCGCCTCGCTCACTGATGCCCGCTATTGATTCGTGCGGCGGGAATGGGCTAGGCGGCCGTCGACCACCGGCCGCGTTTTGGGCCGGGCTGGTCCGAGAGGCTCCGGCCGACGGGCCTCCGTCGACAGTGCCTCTCCGGCCCTGACATCGAGGCGCTTGTACAACATCAGACACCACCACGCCCATTTCAATAGCACCGCACGAGCAGTCCAGCCCCGCCTGTTCCCGGGCTACGGTGACTCGCACCTCGACAGTGTGCAGCGTTCCGCTCAGTGTGGCGAGTGAGATATCTTTTTGTCCACTTATCGGCCCACTTTTCAGCAAAAAGAGCTCGAAAACCGGGATGAAATGTGTCCACCGGATGTCACAGCTCGCTCTGATTTCGCGCGGTCTCTCCGACCGGTGTGATTGCGCGTGACTGGGTGGCGTAGCGGGCGCGGTGAGGTACTGGAACTGTGCAGCTCACCACGTCAGCCCTCCAGCCAATTCCAAGTTCAGCTCAGCAGCTCGAGCCGTGTACTGGAACACGCAAAACCGTATTGAAAAGTTTGACGAATGGGACGGCTGGGCAGAGGCTCTAAGGCTCGCAGCGGCTGTCAGGCGCCGGCCGCAGCGTCTCAGGCGCCAATCACAGTGGCTCGCAGACCGACCGTAGCGGCTCAGAGGTCAGCTGCGGCGGCTTGGAGACCAGCCGCTGTGGCTCAGAGACCAGCTGCAGTGGCTCGGAGACCAGCCGCCGTAGCTCGGAGACCTGTATTTAGTGGCTTAAAGACCAGCTGTAGCGGCTCAGAGACCGGCTGTGGTGAGCACAGTGGGCCGTGTGGCGTGCGGTCCGCCGCGTTGCTCGTTTGTGACGGTCCGTGCGAGCCCTGGCACTGGTCGCCCGAGCCCCGACCGTCCCTGTGACGCCTGGCAGCGCCGTCACCGCGCCTGTGACGCCCCTTAACGACCTTCAGATGAAGCTCTCCGCTGTCGCCAGTCCTCTGGGTGGGGCGTCACTGGAGCGTGCCGGGAGCGCGTGCTGCGGCGGTGCGTTGTTGAGCTCGTGACGTCACGTCCAATGGGGGCCACGATTGGTGGTGTGGTGCGGAATGGGGTTGGCATTCTTCTGGCGATTAAGACCCGGCCCTATGGACGTAAATAACCCATGCGGCTAACGCGCCTTTAGGAATAGATAGCTAATTAATGAAAGCCCGTCCCTGTTACACCTGGTCACATTTGGCTGGCTTTTCTACGGTTGTCCTGACATAGCCCCCACCCCCTTCCGGCGCGTGTCAGTGGCTGGCGCTTCAGAACACCGCACGTTGGTGCGGGTCTGGAAATCAGTCTGCCTGCTCACGCGAACCTCGCTGAGGCCACATGACCCCGACCCTGTCAGTGTCGCCAGGCGGCGAAACGATTGCTGGTCCAGGAGGTCGCCGGCTGACCCGACTGACACGGTCTGGGGTCACCGGCTTACTCAGCCCACATGGTCCGGGAGGTCACCGGCTGACACGGTCCGGGAGGTCACCGGCTGACATGGTCCGGGAGGTCACCGGCTGACACGGTCCGGGAGGTCACCGGCTGACGATCCGCCGGCCGGCTGGCGCGGCTAGCGGGACGCGGCTGCGACACTCGTGGCGCCTCTTGCCCTCCAAAGAGCGCCTTGGCCGCCTTCAGATGCTGACAACGCCGCGGCGGTAGCGCGGCGGCAGTGAATGCAGGGGTGCAAGGGGCAAGCGATTACAGTTGCGGGAGTTGATCAAGGAAATATCTTGGTTTAGCTCCCGTTACAGAAATCCTTCACTGGCCCCGCCCGTCCCCATCAGGAGTGGCGGCGCTACTGCTGACCTCGGCAGTTAAGTTGCGCTGATAGGTGACGGCGTAACGCTTGAGGACTGGAGGAGGGGCGGGGCGGGGCCGGGCTGGGCCGGGCTGGACCGGGCTGGGCCGGGCCGGGCTGGGCTGGGCTGAGCTGGGCTGGGCTGGGCTGGGCTGGGCTGGGCTGGGCTGGGCTGGGCTGGGCTGGGCTTCCAAGCATCTGATTGGAGCAACATCACCTCATACGCGACCACCGCGCACAGGCTGAACATCCCTATGATTGAACTCTGGTTGAACACTTCGGCAGACGCTGCGCCGCCCAGGTGCTCCCTTCGCTTGGTGACATCCGTCTCGGAGCTCCCCGTGACAGATCGCGGTGGCCAGCAGCAGCAGCATCCTCCGCCGAAGATGTGCCATTGAGTGCGGGCTCCGACCTGTGCGATGCCATCCTGTGAGGCTGAACGATTTGTGACGCTGAGTCGGGGATCGTGAGACGAGCTGACAGCTCGTGACGGCGGGTGCTGGTCTCGGAGCAATGGGGTGGAGCACTGGAGCACTGGAGCACTGAGCACTGGGCCACAACCCGGCAACTCCTGATGCTCGCCGATTCCCATGCCGCCCGACACTATGGTTGCACGGTTTTAGTCAATCATAGGAGTGTTTGATTAGTGAAAGCCCCAACGGTGGAAAGCTAGCAGCGTGCTGGCACACTGCCGCGATGCAATCAACGGTAATTGTACTGGGTAGGGTTCCGGGGATATCGCATTAGGCAGAATTGCTGCCCAGATTATTTGAAACGCTCGCATGCATGCACGCATGCACTTCATGCCGCGGTACCAGACATGATGGAATGGAGAGCAGCAGGCGCGAAGCTTTGTGAAAGTTATGGCTCACGCCTCCTCATTCACATGATTTTTAAAGTATGTCTATCCCTATATATATATATATATATATATATATATATATATATATATATATCACAAAATACAGTAATTAAAAATATCGACGCATCAAGGACAAACTTCGACAAAATATGCAATACATCATGATAGCAATGCATCGAGTAGTACAGGCTTGCACCGTGTGGTATTGTGACTACCAACATACCCAGTGTCATTGAATCATAAATAAGCAGTACGACGAAAGAAGGTAAGGTTGAAACGCATTTATGGCACATTTTGAGTGCTTTAGTATAAAACATTCTTTTCCAGATTAGAACTAGTGAGACAATGCTTGAGGTGAAGGTCACCACTATATTTGCCTGCAGCCGTGTTACGCACAATTTGTGGCTTTGGGGACTTTCACGAAGTTGAGGAGCTTGTTCAATTAAACTTTCAGCCAAGAATCAGGAACATACCAGGTCTGATGTCCCTGTACTTGCAATGGCACGTTTCTTGTCCAATGACGAGATTGCATCGATGTCCTTCATTGATATTTGTTTTTAGTTGTAGGTCGTCAGGCTTCTTTACATAGCTTGTAAATGACTCCAGAAACCAATGATGGCTTTGCAATGATGATATCTTGCTCGAAACAGTTGGAAAAATATCTTCTTTGACATTTACCCATTTAGTTCGACTGATTTTTCAGTCCCTCTTTTTGTGAATCAGGGTTTAAGAAAGAACACTAAAAATACCGAACTGTGTGAATCAAGATTTGATTCCAAGCACTGCGTGGAAAGACACTTTGATTTGGCGCGTGGTTAGGCTCGCAGACGCTTTGAATAAAAATGGATTCGAATTATGCAGAGGTTTGTCGAGCGGAAGTCTGGACGCAATACAGCCTGAGGCGTGGGCAGACGGCACAGCAGCGCCAGCTCCTGTCTGACGTCGCGCGGCTCGTGCGCAGCTCCTGCGTGCCGTACTCCCGCTCCCGGACTCTCCGCCGGCCCCCCGTCGTCTGTCACCGGACCGATCTGCGGCGGCGGGAGAGAAACAAGCGGTGACCTTCGGCAGCGAGCCGCGCGTGGGCGCCGCTCGGCTCGTCCCTCCATAGCTCCCGCTGGAGCTCCAGCCGTATCTCCGGCGGTAGCTGCGGGCGTAGCTCCAGCTGAGCCCTTAGGTGACTCTGTCCTTGACTCCACTCTCAACGCGGGCGGCTGCTGCCAGGGACGGTGATGACTCGGCTGTAGCGACTTGCCGCAAAGGCTGAAGGACATATGGAGGGAGCTGCGGGCGGTGGAGTGGAGGTTGTACGGAGGGAGCGGAGGGGGTGTTGGAATGGGGGACATACGGAGGAAGCGTTGGAGCGGTGGAATGAAGGACATACGGAGGGAGCGGCGGGGCCGTGGACTACTGACGGGCATGCGGAGTGAGCTGCGGACGTCGGACCAATGGGCATGCGAAGGGAGTGGCGAGGCGGCAGACCGAAGCACGGTTACCGGGCCGGCTGCATGGGGATAGAGCAATGAGTCCACAAGCCTGCCGCCTGGCACCGGGCGATGGTGGCGTACAGACCAGCACCGATGAAGCTGATCCTGTCAGATCAGCTCCGATGTGTCCGGACTACGCCGAGGCGATGGAGACGCGGGCATCGAGTGGTCTCTCTGTGCCGTGCCGTCGTTGCCATGCGTTCCCTTCGCGGCGTGCTCACGCTGGTGGTGTGTTCACGGAGCCGTTCTATACCCACATAGACGACCTTGCCGCCACCATTTACGGAGCGCGGCAGATCTTCTGCTCGTCCGCGCGTTAAACGCGGTGCGTGCCTGCCTCGAGGCTCTGATGTCTCTCGTGACGAGGCCTCTCGGCCTGTCCGCCACGCCGCCGTCCACTCGCAGACACGCCAGGACGCTGTGGTGGCGGCGGCGGCGCGGCGGCGGCGGTGACGACTGTGGCTGGGACGCGCCGGGCTGGTCGGGCTCGCTCCCACGCCTCGCCGCGGCGCCGTGCGCCGACCCGGACCGGCGGCTGCACCTCGGAATGTCGTCTTCCACACCGTGCCTCCGGCGCGGGGAGAAAGGAAGAGCCGCGCTCTGTCAGGTGATGCCGAACCGGGCGGCTCGCGGAGAAAGGGTGAAAAGAAACAGCGCCACATTCCACGGTGTTGGCACGAGTGCTGAGGACCGCACTGATGTGTCAACTGGACGTCTGCCGCTGATCGGCAGG